CTCTGAAAGGAGACCAGTTTCTCGACACAGAGTTAGAAGGGAGCCTAGAGGTCACCTACTCCAACCCCCTTGCTCAGGGCGGGAATTAGCTACAACACCCCACACTGCTTAAAGGAGGGCATGCCTTTTTAAAAAACGTTTCAGAATGATTGAAAAAAGCATTTACAGGAAAAATTCTTGTGGGGGCAGAGCCCCCCAAAGCCGCACCATAACTACCAGACTGCAACTCAGACTGGGGACGTTTCAACAATGTGATTGGCCAAGCTTTAGTTGTGCATAGAAGTTCTACTGCTCAATTCTCTCCCCCCCCCCCACCTCTGTTCAGGCTCAACCCTCTGCCAACCACCTGGCTGAACCCCCTTGGGTTGCAACCGCTCTGCTGGCCGTCTCGCTGGTTGCCGGGACCAAGCTCTGCCTGGATTCCTACAAACAGCAGCACGTCGTCCATGAAGACTGACCACCCCCCCAGGCAACCTCCTTAATAAAACCTTGCCTATCAGCTTGACCCGAGGCTTCGATTGTGGGCTCCCTCTGGGAAAGTTGACGTCTTGCAGTGCAAACAGTGTCTGCCGCTCGAAGGGGGAAACCCCAATGATTTCGCCCACTGAGACCCAGGCAAAGGTCTCCGAGGGCTAAAAGAGGCCGTGGGAGTATAAGGAAAAGATTCATAAGTGGGGGGGTGGGGAAGGAGAGGAGAGGCCCGGATCCTTGGACAAGACTACTCCTGATAGCAGAGTCTGGTGTAGTGGTTTGGAGCGTGGACTCTCATCTGGGAGAACCGGGTTTGGTTCCCCACTCCTCCACATGGAGCCAGCTGGTGTGACCTTGGGTCAGTCACAAGTTCTCTCAGAGCAGTTCTCTAAAAAGCTCTCTCAGCCCCACCGACCTCACAGGGTGTCTGTTGCGGGGAGGGGAGGGGAAAGGAGACTGTCAGCCGCTCTGAGACTCCTTCGGGTGGTGAAGGGTGGGGTATGAATCCAACATATTCTTCTCTCTCTCTCTCAGCCCCCCATATTTTTTTAAATCAGTTATTTCTCCTCTTGACGGGCTTACAGAATTCTACGTAGCATTAAGAGCTCAGAAGACTTTTTTTTCAGGAGAGGAAAAAGACAGGTACGTCCAGCTACACATGCTAAACCAAGTATCCCCAACGTGCGACATGATTCCCGCTGACACCTTTTTTTTACACCGGCCAAGCGTTCTTAGAAAGTGTGCTGGGCCAAATAGGGCTTTGGCCCCACAAGGCTTCTGAGGGTGTTCCAATTTTTAAAAACGTTGCTTTGGCAGCAGCTGCCCCCCCCCCCCCGTGCAAGAATCTTCACTCCGTGACTGAAGGTAAACTGGGGCAGCCATTTTGTAGCTGGCTCCGCCTCCTGCAGCGGCCATTTTGTCGCTGTGCCCACCATGCAGTGTGAAGATTCCAGAGGGTCCCACTCCCACAGGCTTCGAAAAGTTGAGGACCCCTGTGCTAAACTGTAAGCCACGACCCAGGTTCATTCGTTTCACGTGAACACTTAACGTTTCTGAAACGTTAAACGAAAGGATGAGCGCTCAGGTCCTGTCTCACCCAGGGGCCAACCAGTTCCTCTGGAGGGCCAACAGGGCAGAAAGGTTGAGAAGAACATCAGAAGAGCCCTGCTGGGTCAGAACAAAGGTCCATCTAGTCCAGCCTCCTGCTTCACACAGTGGCCAACCAGTTCCCCTGGAGGGCCAACAACAGGGCAGAGAGGCCGAGGCCTTCATAAGAACATCAGGAGAGCCCTGCTGGATTAGACCAGTGGTCCATCTAGTCCAGCATCCTGTCTCACCCAGTTCCTCTGGAGGGCCGGCCAACAACAGGGCAGAGAGGCCGAGGCCTTCATAAGAACATCAGGAGAGCCCTGCTGGATTAGACCAGTGGTCCATCTAGTCCAGCATCCTGTCTCACCCAGTTCCTCTGGAGGGCCGGCCAACAACAGGGCAGAGAGGCCGAGGCCTTCATAAGAACATCAGGAGAGCCCTGCTGGATTAGACCAGTGGTCCATCTAGTCCAGCATCCTGTCTCACCCAGTTCCTCTGGAGGGCCGGCCAACAACAGGGCAGAGAGGCCGAGGCCTTCATAAGAACATCAGGAGAGCCCTGCTGGATTAGACCAGTGGTCCATCTAGTCCAGCATCCTGTCTCACCCAGTTCCTCTGGAGGGCCGGCCAACAACAGGGCAGAGAGACCGAGGCCTTCCTCTGGTATTGCCTCCTGGCTCTGGGATTCAGAGGATGAGTGCCTCTGAATGTGGAGGTTCCCCACAATCACCATGACCGGTGTTCCCTCTAAGCTGAGTTAGTGTGAGCTGGCTCACAGTTTTTTTGCCTCCGGCTCACACATTTTTGTCTTCGCTCAGGAAGGAGGGCTCCAGAGGAAACTAAGTTATACAGGAGCCAAATCGCTCGCTCACAACGTCAAGGCTGGGAGCTCACAAGGTGGAATTTTTGCTCTCAAGACTCCACAAATTAGAGGGAACATCCAGGACTAGTAGCCATGGACAGTCCTTTCTCCATGGGACAGGGTAGGCTGGGGGTCTGCCAGACCTTGGGACTCAGTGTGGCTCACCTTTGCAAAGCTTTGATCAGCCTCGTGCCCAGAAATTTTTTGTTAGGGGGGTTCCCAAGGGGGCCATTTAGTACAGCAGAGCTGACTACATCACAGAGTTGTTGCGAGAGCCAGTGTGGTGCAATGGCTTACGTGCGCGGACTCTAATCTGGGAGAACTGGGTTCGGTTCCCCACTCCTCCACTTGCACCTGCTGGATGACCTTGGGCAAGCCATTGTTCTGTCAGAGCTGTCCTTGAAAAAGAACGGTTTCTGTCAGAGCTCTCTCGCCCCCACCCGCCCCACAGGGTGTCTGTTGTGGGGAGGGGAAGGGAAAAGGCGTTCGTAAGCCGCTCTGAGACTCCTTTGGGTAGTGAAGGGCGGGGTATAAATCTTGTTAGGGAAATACAGAGGAGAGGCATGGCTAGGTAAGAGCTGACAGGTAAAAAAAAGGGGGGGGGGAGAGGAGCGGCACCTGGGGCAGTACAGAAATAATAAAGATCAGGATCTGTGTCTGGGAGTTGTACTCTCTCCGAAGCACTGTGCATTGCTCCGGAATCAAAGCCTACCCCACCCCCCCGAAGATCCAAGATATCTGGCCAGCGTTGCCGGAGGAGTCGGGAGAGCCCCTTGAGGTATGGTCCCGTTGGCTCGCAGCAGCCAGATGAGAACCCCCGGAGGAGCCCCTGAACGCCTGGTGCCAACTGGGCATGCTCCTCACATCCCCTCACTACATCCCCCCCCCGCCTTTGCACGCAATCCAAGAGGAGAGCAAAGACAGGAACTCCGTCTTGCACCAGCTCGGGCATTAGAATCGCACCGGCAGCTAGCTGAGTCCGTGCTGAGACACGCTCCCCCCTCCCCGGCAAGCCAGGCGGGTGCTTCACAGAGAGGGGGCAGGGGGAGGAGGAGGCACGGCTGTTTGGGGAGGCCGCTGGGCCCTGGTAGGCACCCCCACGCGTCCAGGCCTGGCTCAGATGCGTCTTGGCAGAGAAGGCCCGTGCCTGCTAGACGTGCACCCAGAACCATGAGAAGCCCCCAGCTCAATTCAGTCACCCTGGGTCAGAGGTCAGATACACAGGCGGGACTTTGGCGGGAGGCTCCAGTCTGACTTGGGGAGCCCTGAGGCGGGTCACAGCTTTAATGCCCATTGCGCTGTTGGGTGTGGTGTGAAACTCCGGGAGGTAGAGCAGGGATCCCCAACGCGGTGCCCAATACCTTTCCTGGCCTCTGCCTAGTGTTTTTAGCAGGGCATCTCCGTGGCCGTGCAGACTGAAAAGCACCCTGTCTGGCAGAGCGCCTGCTTTCAATGCGGGAGTTGCCGTGAGGATCGTGCCAATCCTTGCTCCCAGACATTTGGCGGCTGGTCCCGCCTCCTGTGGTGGCCATCTTGTGCTTGTGTCCACAGCCCTGGGTCAGAAATCCAGGCTCAAAGGGGTGGTGAGACCCCCGACTCTAGAGTTACCGACTTCCGGTTTCAAGACAGAGCCCTGGCGTGTAGTCGGGTCGAGAGCCGGAGTGGCTGACTTGACACGGCGGTCACCGATGGCAAGTGTGTTTTGGAGGGCTGGCGCACCGGCACAGGCTTGGCAGCCAGGGCAGCGAAGGGGAATGCCAATGGGTGCTGCCCCACTTCTCAGCTTCCCCCTCCGCCGCGGTCCCCCGGGATTACAGGGCAGCAACGCATGCTATGGGAAACGCTGGCAACGGCTGAAGTCAAAGACATCCCGGCAGCTACCTGAAATTTGGGGCTTTGACGCGCACAAAATCCGGAACGGACCCGGGGCACAAAGATAAAAGGCCGCTGAGATTCTTCAGTGGCTGGCAATAAAAAGGTAGGACAGGCCGAATATGCAGTCTCTCGCTCTCTGCCCCGTCCTCATCTTCAGTTCTTGGAACTCAGGGATGCTATTACTGAACGTGGAAATTTCTCTTTCCTAGAATCCTAGAGTTGGAAGGAACCCCCATGGTCATCTAGTCCAGCTCCGTGCACAAGGAAGGAAATTCACAAATACCTCCCCCCCCCCCCCCCCACACACAGAGTGACTGGTGTTCCATGCCCAGAAGGTGGCAAAAAACCTCCAGCTTCTCCGGCCAAAACTGGCCTGGAGAACAATTGCTGCCTGACCCCGAAGTGGCGATCAGCCTTTCCCTGGGCGTGTCAGAAAGGGCCGCGAGAACTAAGCTCCGATGCAGCCCCTGCCTGCCCTCCCTTCTCGTGATCTGCCCAAGTTCACAGAATCCGCCACCTGGCCTCTGTTTGGAAACCTCCAAAGGAGGAGAGCCCCCCACCTCCCGAGGAGGCCTCTTCCACTGGGGAACTGCTTTGTTACAGGGCTCATCGCCACGGTCGACCCTGTCTAATTCTTCAGCCTCCTCCCCCTTTAAGAACGTTGGAATTTATTTAAGAAAATTACATTTGTAGAAGAAACGGTGGATTTATTTAACCTGTAACTATCCCCCATAATGGAGGATCGCACCCAAGGACGGTGATTTACCTAACAATAATATTATTACTAATTAAAAAAAAAGAGATCACCAATCGAGGAGACAAGTTGAACATGGCGTTGACCACCGCTCAAGGGGACAAGTTCAACCTTGCGTTGACCTGGAAGTGGCGAAATCGCACTTCCTGGCTTGACTAGAACTGTCTGGGGCGATTCCCGAATGACAGCCTGGTACGTGACAATTCTTTTTTAAAAAGTGAATTTCCTCAGAGGTCAGAGAAGCCCGAGAGCGGCCTGTCCCCTGCTCCATCTGGAACGCCTCCTCATACAGGAGTAAGGAACGACGCAGCTGTGTGCCCGGCTCTCCGCTTTTACTCCAGTGTCCCAGGGAAGGGTGGGGAGAATTGAACCTCTGCAATATATTGCCCGTTAAATGGAAACTGGAGTAAAAAAAAGAGAGAGAGGCTAAAATAAGGAGAAGGGCGAACCACCCACAGTCCCGGCCCGTGGCGACCCCGGCTAGACGATCATCTCCAGCTGCCGAGCGTATTCGATCACTTGTTTGGCGAGCTCCGTCGAGGGGATGGTGGCGTCTTCGGGTTTCTGCTGTTGGCCCATGAAGCAGTAGTGGTTGTGGGAGCCCAGGATCCAGCCACGCTAGAAGTTTAAAAGATGGGGGTGGGGGAAGGGACGGAAAAGCTTATTGTTTTAAGTGTCGATGCAAAGACCCCCGCAAAGACCCCACAAGGAAAACGTTTGGCTGGCACATTCCACTATGGCGTAATCACGGCAGGCGTTCAAGAAATAGCACAAGCAGTGTTCCCTCTAAGCTGGGTCAGTGTGAGGTTAGCTCACAGTTTTTTTAGCCTCCGGGCTCACATGTTTGTCTCAGCTCGGGAAGGAGGACTCCATAGCAAATTGATTTATGCAGCTGCCAAATCGCTGGCTCACAACTTTTAATGCCAGCAGCAGGGAGCATTGAGCACAAGTAGAGATGTGAAGGCCCGGGGAAAAATTCGGGAAACCATTTCCATCCCATTTTTTTCCCTGAAGCCTTTTTTGTTTTCCCCCCAAAATTGGAAAAATTGAAAAAAGAAAAAAAAATTGATGATGGAACATTTTATTTTAACATGATGAATAAAGTATTTTAAGACAAGGTGTTCAAATATTTTCCAAATCATTTCTAAAAAATATGTATGGTATCAGATGATTCTAATTTCTGTGCACTGAAGACAAGCAAGTCCTAGGTTACAAACTGAACTCTCCAATGCAAGAACAAGATGCATTTCTTCCTTTAGGAGGTGCTATTGTCACAAGAAAAAAAGGTTTCAGTTTTGTTTTTGCATGTGGGTGGGTATTCTGTTTGTAATAATTGTTTGGATACACTACACTTTTAATAGGCTAGTTGTGATAATTTCATGCCAAGTAAAAATGTCCATAGTCATATTTTATGTTCCTAAAGTAACAGAATGACTTTCAATCTGCAAAAGAAAAAAAAGAAGTGCTGATGTGGCATTTTTGTCAATTTTTCCGAAAATTGCCTTTTCCCCCGAAAAAAACCTGGTTTTTTTCCCGAACTTCAAAATTTCCGAAAATTTTACATCTCTAAGCGCAAGCCATATTCTCCCCCTGTCCCCGCCCAGGCCAAAGATGCGAAACAACCACAACAGAGCAAAAAGAAGATTCATTTTGAGAAGTTCCTAGTGTCTTTTCCCACGGTCCTTTTCGCCGTTTGTGCAGATGCGAAACAGGCACAGACTCGATTGCCCATGCCGGAAGGGCCTCCCTAAGAGCCGTGCGGCCCTGCCAGCTCAGCCAGAAGCCTCCGGGGACAAAAGCAAGTGTCAGCAGGGAGAGGGTTGCACGGAACGGATGTGGCCGAGGAGAAAGTCCTCCTCCTTGCAGCCACTGGCCTGACGGGGCCCCTGCCACTTGGGGCGCTTCTGCATGGAGGGAGGACTACTTGGAGCTCCCCAGTGGATGGATCTCTGGGGAAGGGGGGAAAAATATATCAAGGGACCCTTGGCCTGCTGATTTGAGTTGCCCATTAATCATGAGCTACCTTGGAAAGGTTTTATATATATTTTTCTCTCTCTCTAAAGAGATAAACATTTCAATTAAAATGGGGTGTGCAGCAATGCTCCCTCTAGGCCAGGGCCGGATCGGACATAAATTAGACCTTGTTGTAACGCCAGGCAGTGGAGATCAAGGCTCCCTCTAAGCTGTGGAGTCCTGTGAGCAAAAATTCTACTTTGTGAGCTCCTGGCATTGAAGTTGTGAGCGAGCGATTGGGCCGCTGCATAGATTAGTTTGCTCTGGAGCCCCATCCTTCCCGAGCTGAGACACAAATGTGTGTGCCGGAGGCTAAAAAACTGTGAGCTAGCCTCACACTCACTCAGCTTAGAGGGAACACTGGTGGAGATATAAACTTTAAAAAGGACACAGGCAAACACAAGTAAAGATTTTTTTAACTTTAAATAACACATTTCCAGTGAGTTCGACACCCCTGCTCTAAGCTGTGGAGTCTTGTGAGCGGAAATTCTACCTTCTGAGCTGCTGGCATTAAAGTTGTGAGCGAGCGATTTGGCTCCTGCGTAAATTAGTTTGCTCTGGAGCCCTCCATCCTGAGCTAGGACGAAAATGTGTGAGCCGGAGGCTAGAAGACTGTGACCAGGCTCACACCAACTGAGCTCTGAGGGAACACTGCAGTGGGGCGGCAGCTCCCCCGGCCTCACCTTCTTGGCGTAGTCCGTCATCTTCTTGGGGTTGAAGAAGAGCATCCGAGTGGCTTCGTTGAAGAGGATCTTCTCGTAGGCCTTCTCAATGCAGCTGGCAATCTCGTCCCTGGGGCGGAGGGGAGGAAAACGAGAAGCGAGTAGGTCACCCGGGCCAGGTACTCGCTCGGTATCGGCCAAGCACTTCCGAGGGTTCAGAACACGATTCTCTCCCCGCCCCCCCCCCCGACTCTCCTTCCACTTCCCCCAGACGTTCCAGGAACCGTACCAGTGTTTCCTCTAAGCTGAGTTAGTATGAGCTAGCTCACAGTTTTCTAGCCTCCAGCTCACACCTTTTCGTCTCCGCTCAGGGAGGAGGGCTCCAGAGCAAACTAATCTATGCAGCAGCCAAATCGCTTGCTCACACCTTTAATGCCAGTCGCTCGCAAAGTAGAATTTTTGCTTAGAGGGAGCACTGCACCCATAGGTTTTCCCCTTGCAGAAGCAACAGAAGCTCGGGGCGGACAGGGAACACGAGGGGAAATTTGCACAGACTTCTCACCCTCTGGCCAGGTCGCACGCTAAGAACTGGGTCACTCCACGGCACCTCGCAGGTAGGAATGACCGACCCGCCCCCCTCTGACGGGCAGAGCGGCTGAGCTGGAATCCCCCCCCTGCGACAGAGGCTGAGGGGCAGGGCCAGAGTCGCGACTCATCTCGAGACACGGCAGGCCGTCTCCCTGGCGCGGGTAATTCCGCAGCTTAAATGCTCTGTAACACACACTCGCACAGGGGAAACACAAAATCCAGGGCCTTGCCTTGGGCAAAGAACGGCGAGGAGGCTAAACGGGCACGGGCTCACCTCACCGTGTCCAGCAAGATGTCGATGAAGAAGGCGTAGCTCTCGGCGGGGATGTTGCCTTTGGCCAGGAAGACTTTGTTGTAACTGCCTTCCATTAGATACTGGAATGGGGAGTGGGTGGGAAAAGAAGAATCACAAGTTTGTGAAAAAGAGCTTGCGTTTTCAGAGAAACCCCGCCTAGAGCCACGTACAAGGGAAGGCCCGGCAGTACAAAAGTGATGCTACCCAAGACCAGCTCTCTTGGTTCTCAAGTCCTCGGGCTGACCAGCGGTGGGTGAAAAGGGGCCCTGCTATGAATCAACGGAGAGCAAACCACCACATCACCCCAGTGGGATGGGACCCAGCCATAGACAGTTTGGTGTCGTAGTTAGGAGCGCGGACTCTAATCTGGGAGGACCGGGTTTGATTCCCTGCTTCCCCACATGCAGCTGCTGGTGTGACCTTGGGTCAGTCATAAGTTCCTTCAGAGCTGTTCTCTCAAGGGCAGTCCTTGAGAGAGCTCTCTCAGCCCCGCCTACCTCACAGGGTGTCTGTTGTGGAGAGGGGAATGGGAAGGAGATGGTAAGCCGCTCTGAGACACCTTTGGGTAGTGAAGGGTGGGGTATAAATCCAATCCTAATATAGAAGACCAAAAAAGGGTCTCTTCCACAGTTCAAGGTGTCGGCACAGGGACGCACCGCATGGACATCTGTGGGCACTAGGGATGCCAATCTCCAGGTCAGTATGGGAAAATATAGGACACTGTGTGTAATAGATGTATGCTTAAGGTAGATCTGTTTTGTGCTTTTCATTTTCATTTTAAAAATTTGTTCTATACTGTTCTATAAATATTGGTTAAACAAGTATAAAGCCAACAGTCGTGATAGTCTGACCCACAATCAAACAGTCTTAAGACTTATAAAGAATGCTGTTTATGTATTGCAATCTAAAGCACTACAACATGATACACAACTCAATAGAAAATCCTTGAACCAAGGTACATAATCTACGTCGTCTCTGGATTACATAACAACGTTTCAAAAAATGGATCTTCTTCAGGAGATATTATAGTGGTGCCAAAGCTCTCTGTTTCATAAATGTTAGACTACAAGTCTTAAGAATATTAAATTCAGATAGGACGCTGATCTCAATTAACATTCAGGCTCAAAATATGCTGCTATGTTTCTATTGGATCCCAAATTGGGTCCTCCCGGGATCCAATAGAAACATAGCAGCATATTTTGAGCCTGAATGTTAATTCATTTTTTGAAACGTTGTTATGTAATCCAGAGACGACGTAGATTATGTACCTTGGTTCAAGGATTTTCTATTGAGTTGTGTATCATGTTGTAGTGCTTTAGATTGCAATACATAAACAGCATTCTTTATAAGTCTTATGACTGTTTGATTGTGGGTCAGACTATCACGACTGTTGGCTTTATACTTGTTTAACTGATTGGGTCGTGTGTGTCCAGATTTTTTTTTCTATAAATATTGGTGCCAAGTAGTCCCAAACATAGGTTCACCAAAACAATATGTCAAAGTGCAGGTTTGCGCTACATTCACATTTTCAAACAGCACCTTGTCGGTTTCACCATCGCTAGTCCAGTTGTGAAACTGACAAGGTGCTGTTTGACTGCTGGAACACAGTGCAAACCTGCCCTTTGACGTACTGTTTTGGTGAACCTATGTTTGGTGATACTTGACACCAATATTTACATAATACTTTAGAAAAAAATTTTAAAAGAGCACAAAACACATCTACCATAAGCGCACATCTATTATACACCGTGTCCTATATTTTTTCTTTATCTTCCTAACACTGTGGCCCTCGGTTTTTGTATAATCTCCAAGTCAGGCCTGGAAATCCGCTGGAATTGCCACTGACCTCTAGCTGATAGAGATCAGTTCCCCTCTGGAGGCTGGACTCTATGTTACGATACCCCAATGAAGTCCCTCCCCCCCCCCCAAATCTCCAGCTCTTTCCCAACCTAGAGCTGGCAACCCGAGTAGACACCTGGGGGGGGGGGTGTACACGTCCTCCGGGTCCAACTTGGGTCCTGACTTCCCAGGAAACACTTCCTTCTGGCTGTTTTTGGGTGGTGGTGAGTGTGTGTGTGTGTGTGTGTGTACGCCTGTAAGTCATGGTTGCCTTCTGGCGACCCCTAGTGGGGCTTGGACGTTCCAGAGAGGGGGCTTGAGATTTGCCTGCCTCTGCGTCCCGGCCCTGGTATTTCTCGGAGGTCGCCCTTCCAAGTACTTGCCAGAGTCAACCTCGCTTGGCTTCCGAGGTCGGATGAGACTGGGCTTGCCTGGACCGTCCAGGTCAGGACGCGTTCCCGTTTGACACAGTCCCCGCCTCCGTTTTCAGACAGTTCCACGGGCCACCTTTCCAGAAGCAGTGCCGGTAGAACTTTTCCCTGGCTCCACAGCTACGGAGAGGCCCGACTTGCTTTGCTAAACCGGTGGACCCTTTTCTTACTCCACCAGGAATTCGGGGATCTAATGGGGAGTCGGCTCTCACTACGGCTTTTGAATCCTTAATTGCTTCACAGGTGAAAGATCGCTTTCGACTCACAACGTGTGTGTTATAAGGCAGAAAGGCGGCAAATACTGGTTGGCTAAGAACGGCTTCTGCCCCTGCAAGGCAGAGCCTGCACTGCGACGCGGGAGGGCTGGAGCAGGAGAAAGCTACTGCGGCGAGACGTTACCTGCTCCAGAGAGACCGGGTGTTTGATGTAGACATTGGTCTGGATGTCCTTGGCCGGCAGCCTCTCCAGTTCCGTGTGGAACTCGGCAACCCGGTTCTGGGACAGCAGGAAGAGGAGGTTCAGGCCCAGGAGCTGGTGCATGTAGGCCAACTCCGGCAGCTCATCCCTGGGGGGGGGGGGGGGGAAGGAAGCAAAGGAGGAGAAAGAGGCTGAAGCCACGGAGAACTGGTACAGCACAGAGGTTGAGAGAGCTGGGACCAGACTCTGGAAGAGCCGGGTTCGGATCCAGAGACTGCTGGGAAGCTTGCTGGGCGACCTTACGGCCGTCCCTCTCTGCTTAAACTGCCTCGCTGAGCCATTGCGAGGATAGCAAAGGGGAAAGAGGAAACTGCATGAGCTCCCTGGGAAAAAGGTTGATATCAAATGTACTGCACAGAAACGATATTTATTTATTATTATTTATTCGATTTGATATACCGCCCTAACCCCCTTGGGGGTCTCTGGGCGGTTTACATGGGGAGGTGCTAATCACGTTATACCCTAACTTAGGCCACATTGTTCTGAGGGGGCGGGACAGCCTACCGGCCTTTCCTCCACATGCACGTGCTGGCTTTATCCCAGGATAAGGGGAATTCCTTGGGCAAGAGGCCCGTAAGCAAAGGGAAGGAGAGGGGCAGGCACGCGGAAGGATTATTCTTGAATGCCGTCTGCCCTCCGGACCAATGCTCCCTCTAGGCTGTGGCGTTTTGTGAGCAAAAATTCTACTCTGAGAGCTGCTGGCATTAATGTTGCGAGCGAGCGATTTGGCTCCTGCATCAATTAGTTGGCTCCGGATCCCTCCTTCCTGGGCTGAGACAGAAGTGTGTGAGCCGGAGGCTAAAAAACTGTCAGCTAGCTCACACTAACTCAACTTAGAGGGAACACTGCTCCGTACCCAGCGCCCCGTCCTCCGCAAGCCTCAGAGATCTCGGAAGGTGTGCCTCGCAGCTGCATTCTGGACCACCTGCAGTTTCCGAAACGTTTTCAAGGGGGTAGCCCTATGTAGAGCGAACTGCGTTGGACTGGACAGGCCACTGGCCCGATCCAACATGGCTTCTCTTATGTTGTCAAGGGTCATAAACCTACGTGCTACTAGACGATCTCTTTTTGTCTAATCTAACCTTTGTGAGATTTGGAGGGGGAGGGGGCGATGAAGGTGATCTTCTCTCAAGGGAGGTTCGGGTGGGCCTCTTCAGCACTGCCAAGTCGCCCCTGCCCCCTTTGGAGATTAAAACCCTGATGAGAGACGCAGACCTGCTCCCTGCACGCGGCAGGGACACTTACTTGTAATCGAAGTAGTAGCACTTGAGCTGTGCCATGTACCTCTCGAAGGAGGGGATGTCTTTCTTCAGGATACTCCACTGGGCCCCGATTTCTAGAATATCCCCTGCAGGCAGAGGGGAGGAGGAGAGAGTGTTAGGAGCGACGACAAAAGCTGCAGCGCTGCAGCAATCGGCTAGAAGACCTTGCCTCACCCTTCTGGTTGTCAGCACAAGGCACGCAGCGAGGGAAATGGGGTATTTCACTTGTTGCCCAGCTGGTGTGAACGTTACCTCTGCCAGCAGTATTACCGCCCTCTCTTGCCGAGGGGGCAGAAGTCGAGCGGCTCAGTTACTGGGGGGATAATAACACCTTACAGGGCTCTCGCACAAAGGACAGTAAGATAACCCTTGTGAGAAGATCTTAACGTTTGAAGTGTTCTATATATATGCTTTTTTGTCAGTGGCTCTGGTCAAGCAAGAACCTGCCACGGTTTCTAGTAGGAAGTAATTAAAAGGACCAGGCAGGAGATGACGTGAAAGACCTCCGGCTGAGACCCTGGAGAGCCATGAAGTGGGCTGTAGCTCAATGCAAGAGTGTCTGCTTGGCATGCAGAAGGTCCCAGGTTCAGTCCCCGGCATTTCCAGTTAAAAGGGACCAGGCAGGAGATGATACGAAAGACCTCTCTTCCTGAGACCCTGGAGAGCTGTAAAGAGGGGCTGTGGCTCAGTGTGGTAGAGCGTCTGCCTGGCGTGCAGAAGGTTCAATCCCCAGCATCTCCGGTTTAAAGGATGAGGTAGGGCAGGGGTGTCGAACTCATTTGTTATGAGGGCCGGACCTGACATAAACGAGACCTCGTTGGGCCGTGCCGTGTGTGTCATAAAATGTAATGCCAGGAGATATAAACTGTATAAAGGACACAAACACAAAGGCTTTGTGAGTCATGCTGCAGGGAAGGGGGCGAAATAGGCTGTGCATTAGCTTGGGAGGACCCGGATAAAGGTACAGAACAGGCATCGGAGATGCGTGTGTGTGTGTGTGTGGGGGGCAATTAGGCCCCTCCACTTTGAAGGTTCCCGCCAAGCTTGATATGGATTGTAAGCCACTTTGAACCAGAAGGAAAGGTGGATATAAATGTCTTAATCAATAAACAGACAAATCTAGCATGATGGGACGACACTCACTTGCCAGGATGAGCTGCTGTTTCGTCAGTTTTGTGCCTGAGGTGGGCAGAAAGTTGAGCTCCAGCAGGGCTAACTGGAACAGAAGAGAAGGAAACGGGTCACACGTGGCCAAGCTGCGCGACTGTCAGAAGAACGTCAGAAGGGCCCTGCTGGGTCCGGCCAGTCGTCCATCTAGTCCAGCATCCTGTCCCAGACAGTGGCCAGGCAGTTCCTCTGGAGCGCATAGAGGCTGAGGTCTTCCCCTGGATTTTGCTCCCTGGCCCTGGGATTCAGATGCTGACTGCCTCTGAACATGCCTTTCTCAGAAGACAAGAACTCCTTGTGGGCACTCCATGAAATTGCTGAGCGGTCGGGTTAGAACAGATAAAAGGAAGGACTTCTTCACCCAAAGAGTGATTAACACGTGGAATTCACCGCCATGGGAGTTGGCGGCGGCTACAAGCACGGATGGCAAAAATTCTACTTTGTGAGTTCCCGGCATTAAAGTTGTGAGCGGTGATTTGGCTCCTGCATAAATCAGTTTGCTCTGGAGCCCCATCCCTTCCTGAGCTGAGACAAAAAGCTGTGAGCCGGAGACTAAGAAACTCTGAGCTAGCTCACACTAACCCAGCTTTGAGGGAACGCTGGTTGGCACAGTCAGAGGCCCCTTTTTGCCTCACCGGTTCCAGGCCATATCACCACGCTGAGCTCCAACTGCAGGGGTGCCCCTGTCGAACCCGGACCCCGCTCCCGGGGTACGCATCCAGCTCTCGCCTGACATCGCCATGCTAGTTTCAAAAGACATCAGCCCAAATGAACATGCTACTGTCGAAAGCTGCAAGAGCTGCCACTCATGAAGGGTGTGTAAAAACTAAAGACAAACCCATGAAGCAGGTGAACCTCTGCGTATAGCAGGATTGCCACAGCTGCGTTGGGAAACTCCTGGAGCTTTGGGGTGAAGCCTGGGACGGGAAGGCCTGCAGTGGGGTATAACGCCACAGAGTGCACCCTCCAAAGCAGCCACTTTCTGCAGGGAAACGGATCTCTGCAGTCCGGAGAGCAGCGATTATTATTATTATTATTATTAATAATAATAATAATAATCAGGGCTCTTTTGGTAGAAAAAGCCCAACAGGAACTCATTAGCATAACAGGCCACACCCAACAGCAGAAACGTATTAGCATATTAGGCCACACCCGACAGCACAGCTCACTGGGATTACAGGCCACACCCCCAGGTTACCAGAAGTGTGGTCATCCAGCCACACCCACATTTTGCTTCTTATTCTGTTTACCTCGTTTGTTGCCAAAAGCCATGGCTTTTTTTGGAGCAGGAACTCCTTTGCATGTTAGGCCACACACCCCTAATGTCGCTGTTGGGTGTGGCTTATTATGCTAATGAGTTCCTGCTGGGCGTGGCCAACTCGGGAGCCAGCTGGAACTCCGTTCCTGTGCGTTCCTGCCCAAAAATAGCCCTGATAATAATAATAATCATCATCTTTCAATTTATTAATTGCCCAATCCTGCAGAGCTGCTGGCTCTGAGCGATTTACAGTTACACATTTCACAAGGGACTAACAATGATTCATGGGGGTAAGGGAGGACAACATATATAAATCTTTAAATCGCACATGTTCGCAGCCGATGGGGATTTTTGTTCAGCTGTAGACTAGACATGTTCCAGACGGCATTTTTCCACTCGGCTTGGCCGATATCGCTAGTGGGAGATCGCTAGGCCCCATCTGGAGGTTGGCAACCTGGAGACCAGTGTTCCCTCTCAGCTGAGTTACTGTGAGCTAGCTCACCGTTTTTTTAGCCTCCGGCGCACACATTTTTGTCTTAGCTCAGGGAGGAGGGCTCCAGAGCAAACTAATTTATGCCACGGCCAAATCACCTGCTCACCACTTTGACGCCAGTAGCTCACAAAGTAGAACTTTTGCTCACAGGACTCCATAGCTTAGAGCAGAAGCATTGAACTCATTTGTTATGAGGGCCGGATCTGAAATAAATGAGACCTTGTTGGGCCGGGCCACGTGTCTCATAAAATGTAATATACAAATATATATGTAATGCCAGGTAACGGAGATATAAACTTTATAAAGGACACAAACACAAAGGTGGTTTTTTGACTTAAAATAAAAACATTAGCACTCTTGCGATATTTTGTTTATTTAACAGTGTCTGATAACTGACACTTTGCGCTCTGAATTATTGCAACCAAAATGTCTGTGCAGTTGCAGTCCTGAGTGTGCTCTTAGGGTGTGTATCTGTCAGCTGCCAACCTATGATGACACAGCAGCAGAACTGGAAGAAGCAGAAGACAGCCCTGTTCCACTGCGGGCCTGACAGAAGCCCTCTGGGGGCCTGAGCCGGCCCCCGGGCCGCATCTTTGACACCCCTGACTTAGAGGGAGCATTGCTGGAGACACACTTTAGATCCAGCGCCACGTCTGGGCCAGCAGCTCAACTGGAACAGTCCACCGGGCCTCAAGTGCACCCAAGCAGCATTCCTCAGCCGCGCTCCAAAACAAAACCAGAGGCCGCCTGACTCAGCCTGGAAGCTCGCAAACCGGTTCCGGCACCAGCAAGAACACCCAGGCCGAGTCACCCGCCTGGCTCCCAGCAGCCTCGGAGGACAACTCTCGCCAGTTGCCACCCGCAGCCTCTCGGGACCCCCACAAACACCCTCCCCCTATCTTGGTCTGCACTCACCCTTCGCAGGCTCCACTAGGCAAGGCCCCCCCATAGAACAAACTGGGGGGGGATTGTTGTTCTGTGCAGGGAAAAAAGGGGGCTGTATGCTGTTTACTTCTAAAAGCTCCTTTTAACTTTTTTTGTCTGAAGTGTCAGTTTTCTGCGCCCCTCCTCCCTTCAAGCTCACGATTCATGTCAGTTTGGATGCTGGTTTCTAGCACCCCCCTCCCAAGGGGTGCTAGAAACGGGGGTTGGTATAGAGCATGAGAAAGGGGGGCGCCCTGGAAACTGTCACTTCATGAAGCAGGGGGAGAGGGTGGGTGGGTGCGTGGGGGAGGCAGTCACAAACA